GATTAAAACTATATTTACTAGGGAGCTCTGGTGGCCTGGTGGCAAGATGCTGCACTGCAATCCCAGAGGTATGCGGTTCAAATCCACCAGATGCTCTGCTGGAGAAGGAGGGGGCAATCTCCTCCTGTACCAGTTAGATCTGGTTTGACGGTACACGTAAAAATAATACAATAAAAATTGAAAAAAATTTTAAAAGACCCAACAAACCTATATTTACTCATAATAAGGAAATAATTGCACTTGTTTTTAGAGTTTTCCGAAGCATGTAGGTTTCTGACACCCCCAAATGTTGTCTTGGAATCCTAATCCTTACATCTATGGATATGATTCCATTTTGGAATGGGGTTTTCACTGTTAATGAGACCCAACAGGACTAGTGTAAACCTGCCAGTGAGGCTGTACATCTTAATGAGAGGAGTCTGGTGGATTTGAACTGCCGACCTTTTTAGGAGCAGCTGGATATGCAATGCAAAAATGCTAAAGAGCAATGATGTCAGTTTAAAGACTAAGTGCACCAGGCCCAAGTCATGATGTTTTAAATGGTTTCCTATGCTGTGAGTCATAGAGAGAGCTCTGTTGGCCTAGTGGATAGAAAGTGATGCTATCAAGCCAAAGGTGGGTGACTTTAATCTGAAGTCCACAGGCCTGGTTTTAATTGTTTTTGGTCAAACATTCTTCTAAGTGGTATAGCACTGGTCCCTGTTCATTTGCTGTACAGAGGTAACTTGAGGTTGCTGTGATGCTGAACACTGCGATACTGATGTGTCAAATGGGATAATGGTCACCCATGGTGGACAGTGTTTGGTGGAGCTCCTCAATTAAAAGAAGCTTGGAAGCAGGAGTGGCATCCACTTCTGATATAGCTTGCCTCTGGAAACCCTATGAACGTGGAGAAACAATGAAAGTTATACAAGTGTTCAGGTCTTTCTTTCATGGTTGCTATGAGTTGTCTACGACTTGACGGCACTTAACATTAATCTGAAAGTTGGACAATGAATAAAGGTGACAAGAAGTCAATAGGGGCCAGTCATTGGAAAAAGATATCATGTTGGGAAAAGTGGAGGGTCAGAGGAAGAGAGGTAGACCCTCCACAAGACAGACTGGACACAGTGATGGTAGCAACAGGCTTGGGCAAGGTTCAGATCTGTTGGTCATGGGATCAGAGTCGCTGTGTTGTTATGATACCGAACGACAGTAACATGCCACCAGGGCTTCTTGTACCAGTGTGAAGTATGTCCTAAATCTATCTCTTCTGAGTTAGAAGGGACAGCACAGACACAGAGATAGTCTCAAATAGGGGAGGCCAGGCACCACTTGAAGATGGCCAAGGGATGGAGGGATGTTGACGCTACAGAAGCTAAGACAAAGAAATATCCCTCAGAGCTGAGAGGGCGCCTTCCACTGGCACCAGGACCACAAGTTCAGAGTCCAGCCAAGGAAGGTCCTCAGTGAGGCCGACAGGCCCAGAGGGTGGGGCAGAGCAGTGACTGCGGATGCGGCAGCACCGGGCAGGGTTGTGCTGTTGTGCTCCTAGACTGCTGTGAGCTAGAACCAACCCGATGGTGCCTAACAGACTACAAGCCTCCTGAACTGCGAGAAAAGGCATTTCCTTTGTTTAATGCCACTCACTTGTGGTGTCTGTGTGAAAGCAGGGCTAGGAAACTGAGGCAGGTCTGAAAATGGCAGCACCCTCCAGGAGACCAAGGCTCCCCTTACTGGAAGCTCAACGGGGCTCAGACTCCTCCTGTTCCAGTGTGGGGGTGAGGTGGGCTTCCCCTCTTAACTGGGACTCAGGAGCCAGCGGGAAGAGGCCAAACCCCAGCCTGGCTGCATCCCAGAGTCTTCCAAGAAGCCCAGCCCGCCCACCAGCCGTTCCCTCTCTCTACCCCTGCCAGCCCCTGCACTGGCCCCTCTCCACAGAAATCACCCCTTCAAGTTGGCACCTAATTTCCCTTTTTCAATAAAGGCACTTTGTTCAGTGTATCGCTCAACAGGATGGAATGTTTAATTCAGGTTCCAATTTTAGGGCTTGGAAAATAAGGCCTCCTTGGCCGCCAGCTGGAATCATGGGGTGGCACAAAGGGTTAAGTGCTCAGCTATTAACAAAAGGTTCACAATTTGGACTCACTCAGAGGAGCCTAGGAAGAAAGGCCTGGCCATCTGCTTTCAAAAGGTCTCACCACTGAAAACCTCCGAGGCATATGCGTACTTTGAAACACACAGGGTCCCCGAGAGTTGGAATGAACTCAGTGCTGACTTGATTTCTCCATTCGGCCATGGTCCTGGATTTGGTCTTGCTTCCGAGCCTGGTCCCCACTCTCTTTTCTCCTCCTGCCTGAATCTGACTTTCTCTCCCAAAACCCCTTCTTCCCACTTCCTACCCTGCTCAAAGTATCCTGAGCATACCCCCTGCAAGTCCACAGAAACCAAACCAAACCAAACCAAACCCAACCCTGGACACTGAGTCAGTTTCAAGTTGTAGTGACCCTGGAGGACAGAATGGAACTGCCCTCACGTTTCCAAGACCGTCAATATTTAAGAATGTAGATGGTCCCATCTTTCTGCTGCAGAGGGGCTAGTTAAGTTTGAACCACTAACCTTCCCATTAGCAGCCCAGCACTTAAACCACCATGCCACCAGTACTATGAGCACATATCACTGCCCATTTCCTACGAACGCACTGCTTGCCTTTAAGTTGAATAGCAGACCCTCTCAGAGGGTCTCCAAGGCTGTACATTACAGGGGAGGTGGCTGCCCATCTTTCTCCAAATGAGCCACTAGTGGGTTCAGATTGCCAGAGGCTCGGCCTTTGTGTTCGCTGCATAGCTGCCCGCAGACCACACCACCAGAGCTCCCCTGAGAGCCCACACGACCCTGTAAATTTCCCTTTCCGGGTGAGAGCCTCACTGCTTATTGTGCACCTGCTGGACGCACTTTACACAATTTCATGTGGGTTTAATTACCAGAACCGTAAGGAGAGTGAAGCAAGATCTTGCCCACTCACAGAAAGTCTTAACACAACTTTCTGTCCAGCACATCACAATCCAGCCCTTTCTGTTCCAACCGCAGGGCCTTTGCATTTGCCAGTACCTCTACTAGGCGCCTCTGCCACCTTCACCAGCACCACCACGCGGCAGGCTTCTCATCCTCTGGCCTTCTCTTGCTTCTGCAGAGAGCCCCTCATTTTCCATCACGCCTCCTACCTCTGGTGGCCTTTTTCCCACTTCCTTTCCAAGCTCTGCTCCCAATCCTTCTTTGGAGATTTGCTCTTTCCTTGCCAGCCTCTCCTGCTGGGTTGCAGACTGCTCTCAGGCAGGACGTATTTTCAATTCACAATTGCAGCTGTATACCTAACACATGATTGCCCAATAAGTTCAGCAATAACCAGTCCAGGGCAGAGGAGGGATTTGGACGCGGACCTCTTTCTCCTAGTCTTTTACCAGCATCTCCAGCCCTGAACTGCTGCTGGGGGGTGGCTCAGGGCCCAGGGCAAGTGGTGGGATGTGCCTGATGCTCTAAGTTGCCTTCACACCCACACTGCCATTGGAGGCAATCAAAGTGCACTGAACTGAGCTCCCACTATGGCAGGCCTAGGGCTGGTGCCAGCGGTTCCAGGAAAGAGCCTGGGAGGGCGTTTGGAGGCCAGGGGCGAGTCTTCCTTTCCTGTTCTCCCGTGCCCAGAAGATGAGCCAGATATCTGAGCAGCATCTCCTGAGCAGAAGGGCTTGGCCAGCGTCCATGGGTAGGATGAGGTCAGGAGCCCCACCCTTCCCCATGGGATGGTACAAGTGGCTCCAGCTGGGAGACGTGGGCTGAGCCGGAATTATTCATCTGAGGCAGGAACTGGACCACAAACATGTCCCAGCGTGTGGGTGGCAGGGAGAGTGGGGAAGGTAGAAGGGCCTACTCGGTGCCGACACTGCAGTGGGCACTTGCTTGATGCAAGCACTTTTGACCTTCCCTTCAGGAAGGCAGAAGGGCTAAGGGTTTAGAGACAGAGGTCGGAAAGACCTGGCCACACTTTTTGACTTGTGTGACCTCTGAGCCTGTTTTTTCATCTGTAAAATGGAGCTAACCAAAAACCCAAAAGCCCACCTTGATGCTGACACACAGTGACCCTACAGGACAAGTCAGAATTTCCCCACAGAGTTTCCAAGGCTGTGAATCTTTATGTAAGTTGACTGACATATTACATCTTTCTCTTACAAAATGGGGATAAAAATGAAAAAACCCAAACTGATGGCCTTCAAGTCAATTCCGATAAACAGTGACCCTCCTTTGTGTTTGTGAGGCTGTAAATCTTTATCAGAAGAGACTTTACACCTTTCTCTTAAGGACCAAATGGTGGATTTAACAAGGTAGCCAGGACTCCTTAAAATGAGAGGGGTGGTGTTGTATACCTTCGAGTCACAATTAACCCAATGCTGGCCCTCTTCCTGTGAGTTTTCAGAGGCAGTTAATTAGTGTGCACTTGGCTGGTAACCAAAACACTAACTGTTCAAACCCACCCAGCACCATCATAGAAGAAACAGGAAGCAGTTATACTCCATCACCAGGGGGATGGGGTGTGTGTCTCCTAAGTACAAATAACAAGAAAAACAAAAACAACAACAAAAGACTGGGGGGCAGAGGCAGACACACGCTAGGGGCCAGGCACCTGAGAGGAGTCACCTTTCCTCCTGGGCAGATGGAGACGTCAGCAGCCCCGCCAACAGACATTCACGGCCACATCAGGAAAATACCTTGACTTTATTTGCTACAGTGACAGCAGTTCAGAGGTAGCTGCCTTCTCTACACGGAATGGTCTGAACTAGGGGACAAAAACAGTCTGCTTCCCTGGGATGGGGACAGGGAAGACCATGCCAGCTGCGTTTGAGTAACAGTGTATGACTGCCAACCTCAGGGCTGCAGAGGCGGCAGTGGTGTCTCTGGGAGATGGGTCAAGTGGGTGGCCCGGAGGCCAGGAAATCCAGTGTCCAGGGTGCTGGACGAGGCCGGCACTACCTCACGGGGCCGGCTGGCAGCGGTGGCCAGGGCTGCTCGGTCAGCTCACGCTCCAGCTGTTTGAAGCGCTTCTTGGAGGTCTGTTTGGAGTGGAGGCGCCGCAGAAAGGGTGGGAGGCACTGGTCCAGCATGCTCTGCAGAGGGCAGGAGGGTGTAGGGGGCAGCCGTGGCTGAGCCCCAGAATCCTGCATGCTCACCCTCCCCTGGGGGAGAACCCACCTCTAGCATGAAGGCCCCCACGAAGTTTAAGGCCACCAGGCCCAGCATTAGCAGCTTGAAGCAGGTGTCATCAATGTTCTTCAGTGCCAGCGGCCCCTGCAGGAGGCCGGGGACCAGGATGAGGCCCACCAGGATGGAACCCAGGAACGTCAAGGCCACCAGGAAGGGCACTGGGGGTGGGGGGAGTCTGTCAGGCCAGGGGGCCATGCCCTCCAGGACACACACACATTCACAACCTCAAAAATGTGCACCCTCCACGCAGAGCCACTTTCCTCACCTCTCCCACCTGCCTGCCCGGACTCAGGTACCAGCCACCATGTGACCCCTCCCTGCTCACTCATTATACCCTCCCGCCCCCTATGTGGCAGCACCATTGGTGTAGAGTGGCCGGCGGAAAGGTGCCCCCTTGGACATGGCCGCGGCCAGGATGAGGTATTGAAAGCTGGACAGAGAGAAGACCACTGTGTTCTCATAGTTGGGCAAGTTGTCTGGTGCGGGCACCGTCCTGTTCAGAGGCACAAACCTGGGAATATGGGGGTCACGGAATGAGTGTGGGAAGGACGGGGTGAGGGGGCCTGAGAAGGATGGGCCGTTTCTTTACTCACCAGGGCTGGGCCACGGTCAGGAAGTAGCCCCCCAGCTGCACTCCGGCCACCAGGGCCACTTGCAGCAGCAGGCTGCTCAGAACGGGCACGCTCAGCAGCGCCCCTGGTGGCCGTGCCCGTCCTAGCACCAGTGCTGGCCCTGTGCGGCTCATGAGCACGGCGACTGTGGTGGTGATGACCAGGTCAATGGCCAGGAACTGCACGTCCCCCAGGTTGGTATTGATCTGCCAGCAGAGGAGAGTGGGCAGAGGGGAAATTAAACGCTGGCCCTAGTCAGCCCTCAAGGAGTCCCTGGTCAGAGAGGGGAGGCCCAGCTCCTGTCCCACAGGGTTCCTCTCCCTAGTCCAGCGGGGAAAGCATTGCTCCTGTCCTCTGATCTCACTCGTCTACCCCTGGGAAACCTGAGGACGGCAGCATAGTTTCTGATCTCAAGAGAGCCCCATATCTGATTCAAGTGTCACACTGCCTGCCTTCCGAGAGCCTCGGGTGGGGGAGAAACCCTCAGTGCAGACCAGCTGACCTTGCGGGACCAAAGCTGATAGGGAAGAACTCTCAGATCACTGGGGGCAGCCCCGGTCCTGCTCCTGGATTCCAGGTGGACATATATACAATGAACAAGAGCTGCACGGCTCCTGGCATTGTCATATTCAGTGAGGAGAGCAGGGCAGGCAGAGTGGGGTCAGGGTGGGAGCTCGTCAAGATCTGGGGCCCAGTGAGTGGGTCTGAGAGAATGGGTGTGACAGCAGGAAAGTGAGCCCAGGGAGAGGAGAGCCGGAGCTTTCCCTGTCAGCCTGGGCACCTCAGTCTCCCGTCAACAGAGGTCTCTCAGGGACAGACAAAAACACCGTAAGTGGCTCTTGTTTCTGATGGCCTAGTAGGTAGGGAGTTGCAATGCCAACTCAAAGGCAGGCAGCCTGTACCCACGAGCTGCTCATGGGAAGAGAGACTGGCAATCTCCTCCTGTGAGATTTACAGCCTCTGAAAACCTCAAGGGTCACCTATGTATGAGTCGGTTCCAACCCAAGGGCATCTGATAACAACTGTGAGAAAAGGAGCTGTGGTGGCGCAGTGGTTAAGTGCTCAGTTGCAAACGAAAGGGGCTGTGGGAACCCACCAGGCATTCTACAGAAGGCTGTCGGCTTTGATAAAGATTCAGGCCTTGGGAAGCTCACTGGGCAGTTTCGTCTTATAAAGCTGCAGTGAGCGAGTCAGACGTGACTTGAAGACAACAGTTAAGGGTTTTGCACAGTGCAGCGAGCTGTGCTCAGTGCTTCATCCTGACCCCTGCCTCTCCTTCAGAAGGTCAGGACCAGCAGAGGCAGTGACTGAACCGTCTTCGTCTACTCCAGGGCCTGCTGGAGCTCCTAGCCACACTGCCGTGTGTCCTCTCCCCTCCTGACCCGGGCCGCACTCACCGTGTAGAGAATCAGGACAGAGATGAACTGGGTCAGGCTGTACAGGGCCATGTACTTGAAGACGCTGAATGATGTGTCCAGAGAACACCGGCCTTCCCTGGGGCGGTGGGGGGTGGGGGGTTAGGGGGTCCGGCTGGCTGATGTCTGAAGAGCCCTTGCCCACCTGCCCTGCCCACCTCACCTGATGACCATGGGCACACACTCAATGCTGGCCATGCTCGAGGTGAAGGGGGAGACCACAGAGGCCTCGGCCTGAGAGAGCGAGATGCCCACGTCAGCTGCCTTCAGGGCCCCGCAGTCATTGGCGCCGTCCCCGCACATGCCCACACAGTACCTGGCAGACACGTGGCAGGTGAGGCCAGGTCACACCCTGGCTCTGGGCCTGACACCTTTGACTGGCCCCATCTGGGAGGTGACTACCTACCCCACCCTAAGCTCACAGGCAGAGAGCTATTGATAGAGTAAGAGGATTTCTGGATCCCACACGGCCTCGTTAAAGATCTTTAGGGGTGCAAATGGTCTGAACTCAGGAGTTCTGGTGACATAGTGGATAGGGAATTGCACTGCCAACACAAACGTAGGTAGTTCGAATCCACCAGCTGCTCCATGGAAAACAGATGGGCAATCTCCTCCTATGAGATTTACAGCCCCTGAAAACTCACTGGAGGGTCAGCTATGAGTCGTTTCTGAATTGATGGCAAACAGGGTCCCCTCTTATCTTCGTAAAAGGCCACTGGGTGACACAAACGTTTGCACTTGTCTGGCCACAGTCTTGAAAGCCCTACAGTTCTACGCTGTACAAGTGGGAATGCCATGACTTGGAATCAACTCCACGGCCACAGTAAAACTCAGTAAGGTGGGTGGTTGAACACACCCCATGGCACCACGGAACAAAGGCCTGGCTATCTGCCTCCATAGAGATCACAAGCCTATGGAGCAGGTCTGTTCTCTTACAAAAGGGGCCACCATCAGTCAGAATCAACTCGATGGCCACGGGACTTCTGGTGTGGCCTCATGGTCTCAGGCTGCCTGGCACACAGTACCGTGTGGACGACATGACGGACTCAGAAGCACCATGCTGGCTCCCCAAGGCCTAGCAGGGAGGCTGGATTCTCAGGTGAGCTCACCCTCCATGCACCCCACCCTCCCCACTGCTGACCACTCACTGGAGTTTCTGCAGCTCGCACACCAGCTGAGTCTTCTGCTCCGGGGCCATGCGGGCAAAGATGGTGCCCTGGACCAGGACCTGGGCACAAGGAAGAGGAAGGGATGAGGCCGTGACCAGGGAGCAAGGCTGAGGGAGGGGCACACCAGGGGGGAGGGCAGCCCTACCTTGGGCAGCAGCTTGGGGAAGTGCTTCACCAGGATGCTGAAGGTGGACCCGCTGAGGGCCAGGTGGATGGAGCGGGGGTCTGCCTCTACGGTGTAGCTCTCAGCCTGGCCAGGGTCCTGTGGGCCCAGAAAGCTCAGCTTAGCTCCCACTGTCCACTTTAGAGCACTGGGACCTGGGCTAAGCAGCAAACATGGGCGGGATACTGGGTAGGGGGGCCTTGCCTCACCTTAGCCCCATTCATGACTGTGGAGCGCTCTACCGGCAGGAACTCGAGGGACGCAGGCCGGCCCCGCTCAGGGGGGATGGCGTGGATGACGACCAGATGCTCCTGGGGATTAACCATGCCGCAGCCCTGGGCCACAGTGACTGCTGTCTGCAGGTTGTCCCCTGGGGAGTGTGGGACAAGGTCAGGGTCCATCTGCTATGTAAGAGGTCATCCTTACCTGATGCTAACAGATGGGACAACAGGCTGGACAGAATTTCAGCCTGCTGCTCGCTCACTAGCTGGGCACTGACTGTGTCTCTGACCCTCAGTTTCTTCTATAAAAGCAAGTGTCAGAAGGACTGCAAACAAACGGTTTCACAGATTGCTTACTACTGTGTAAATAAATACTGGAGAGAAAGACAGAGAGAGAGAGACAGAAAGAGAAGAGAGAGAGAGACAGAGACAGAGAGAGAGGAGAGAGATAAACAGAGAAAGAAAGAGAGGGGGGAGAGAGAGAAAGGGGGGAAAGAGAGAAAAATGAGAGACAGAAAGAGATAGAGAGACAGAGAGAGAGAGGAGAGAGAGAGGAGACAGAGAGAGAGAGAAGAGAGAGAGAGAGAAGAGAGAGAGAGAGACAGAGAGAGAGAGACAGAGAGGAGAGAGAGAAGAGGAGGAGGAGGAGGAGAGGAAGAGGAAGGATACCAATCTACCGAGCTGCCACGCACTCCAGCTAGAATGTCTTGCTCTGGAATTGTCACCACCTTTGGAGTTGGCAGCATTACCTCTATTTCTCAGAGGCGGACACTGGGTCTTGGAAGGTCACACAGCTGGTGAGCAGCCAGGCTGGCACACAGGCTGACACCACGTCTGGGCTCCGGGAAGTGCACGCCTGTGCCTCGGCTAGTCACTCTACTGCTCTGAGCCCTGCTTGCCTCATCCGCTAAATAGGGGTAACAGCTGTCACTTGAGAGGGACACTGGACAATCCTATAAAAGGTTTGAAAAGGAGCTGGCCTGAAGCAGGAGCCCCAAGAGATGCCCCAGGAAGGGACAGTGGGAGCCTCCTTGGGTGCAGGCCCTGCTGGCCTGGGTACCTGTGACCATGACGGTGCGGATGCAGGTCCTCCGCAGCGCCTGGATCACCGAAGCCGTCTGTGGCTTCAGCAGGTTCCTCATGACCAGCAGTCCCAGGAGGCTCAGGTCCTGCTCCACGGTGTCCCTGGAAGTGGACAGACTCTGGTCAGAGATCCTTCTCCAACCACTGGGCAGGGACGTCTTCCCTAGGCTCCGCCCCTGCCTGGGCTTCAGTCCACAGAGGGGCAAGGCAGAAGTGGTGCCCACCTTGTCAGCTGCTGAGCTGCCTCTAGGTTAGGGGCGATGGGCAGTGGCCTTCCAGCGAGGGCCACGACACGGTAGCCAGCAGCTGTGTAGCTCTGCAACATCTGGGCAAAGTCGGTGGGTACTGCCAGGGAGAGAGACAGGTACCATTAAGAGGAGGTCAGAGGACCCACCACATTCTGTCCAGCACCTGACTGGTGAATTCTTACAGGGGTGGCCAGTCACCTGTCTCTGGTCTGCAGAGGCCTGCCACCAGCTCAGGGGAGCCCTTGACATAGGCCTCAGGCTGTGTGGCCCCTGGCCACGTCACCACAACGTCCATGCGCTGCAGGGCGGAAGAGAAGGGGAAGCGGCAGAGGATGCTGACCGGCACCAGGGGCTCCTCCTGCAAGGCGGAGAGGATGCTGACGGGTTGCCTGGGGCACATCCCTTTGAATCCACACCCACAGGTGTCCCCTCAGCTCACTCCTTCTTGCTGGGGTCTCCCGAGTGGGGGCCTCATCACCGCCAAGACCTGGGTTCCGAATGCCGAGTCTGCTGCCAAAGACTCCTCCAGGACCTGGAAGGTGGACGAGAGAGTAGCCTCTTACGTGCTGGCTTCGCTTGGATCTGCTAGTCCTTGACCCCTGGGCAGAGGCAACAGGAAGGCCTCCTACCCTGGAAAACTGGCTCACTTGCACCCACTCACTGCCACCAGGTTAGAACCAAATAACAGCCGGGTTTGAGGCTGTAAATTGCACAGAAGGTCCATCTTTTTCGCTCAGAGATGCTGGTGGATTTGAGGCACTAGGTACGGCCTCCGGGCTATCAATGCACCACCATACAGCACCAGAGCTGTCTTTGGAAGACTGCAAAGTCCTTACTGTACAGATATAAGAACATCTGTGTGTTCTGGAATCAGGTCAAGTTTAAATTCTGGCTTTGCCACTTGCTGGGTACCTTGAACACATGATTCCAAATTTCTCTCAACCTTCTTTCTTCCCTGGGAGCCAGGATTTAAGCTTTCTTCTGGGGACAAGGCAAGTTGCAGGAGGGTGCTGGTACACAGAAGGTGCTTAGCACATGGCCTTGGCCATTATTATTACTGACGGTGGGCAAAGAGAGACCAACCCAGGAAGACCCTGAATGAGGGCAAGTTCAGCAGTTAGGGCCCTGCTGGCTGACGGGCCCGACTTCCTTACCCAGCCGGTCGACTCCACCATCTTGAGGTCCATGGGGTCACCCACAGGAGTGTCCTGGAGCCGGCTGAGGGCATGGCAGGTGGCCAGTGCATGGAGCAGGGGTCCCATGGGCAGGTGGCGGGGCTCTGGGACGAGTGGCTGGAATGCCTGTCCCTTAAGGGGCACCACGCCCATCACATCCAAGCCGTCCTCTGTGAGGGTGCCTGTCTGCAGAGGGAAGCGGGCAGGCAGGGATGAGTCCTGAGATGAAGCGTGTGCCCACTCACCTGTCTGGCACATGTCACTTTCCTCCCCAGTCTCCCACTGCTTCTCTGATTCACTTCCTCCAGGAAATCTCCTTCATGTCCAGGACTGAGTCAGGGCATCCTTGCTTTGGGCCCCCACCAGTGGTCTCTTCTCCCCAACATTTAGTCACTACGGTATCTGAAGAACCTGAGGGGGACCTGTCCCGCATAAGGCGCTCAGTCTATCTCTTAAAGGAATCAATGAGTGAGCGAATGAATGAATTTCCTCACTGCATTCCAGCTTCCTACTTCTACTTGTGGCTCCTTTGCAAGCTTGTTAGCCACTCCTGCTTAAAAAAGTGCTCCCGGTCCCAGCGCCCTCCAAATACTGTTATATCCCTTTTCCAGGTCCTATTGGTCTTGGCCCAACAGGACCGTCCCTCCTCTTGTTCATATGGCGTGTTCCTTGAGAGGGCCAAGCTGTTTCCAACCTCAGTGCCTTTGCACTTGCTGTCCTGGTTGTCCACATCTCTGTGTGGCCCAGTCCTTACCTCCTGAGGCTGCTGCTTGAGAAACCTTCTGTGATCGCCTCATCTATGGGAGGCACCTCACTGACTGCCTCATGTACCCTGTTCATCTCCTTCATAAAACCCATCGCCACTGGAAGGAGGTCGGCTATGCTGGTGGGGCAGATGTCGAAGACATCAGTTCACATGAGGAGATGTCCGGTTCACTGCTGGGGTCCCCACGACACATGGCGGGTCTTTAATGAGTCTGGTTTAAATGAATGAGTGATTTTGGACATTTGATCTGACTATGCTAGGTGGGGGTCCCTGGGTGCCTGGATGCTGGGACAGGACCTGGCACCCAGCAGGCGCTCATCAATTTTGCGGAATGTTTAATGCAGACGTGGAGGCCGTAGCCCCACCTTGTCAAAGCACACCAGCCGCAGCTTGCCCCCCAGGTTGATACGCAGCGGGTGGATGCAGAAGATGCCCTGCTCCCGCAGTCTGCTCTGGGCGTACAGTGTGCACACGGTCATGGCAGCCGGCAGCGCGGGTGGCACCACCACCGTCACCAGGTCCAGAGCCCGGATCACAATCTCCTTCAGCGGCACCTGGAAGGAGGCTCCGTGAATGCCCAGGGCCAGGTTCAGGCAGCAGCCCCTGGTCCCCGTCGGCACGCCCACCAGCCTCTGAGACTCACCCGGTTTCGATAAAGAATGAAGATGCTATAGATGGTGCCGAGGAGAGCTGGGAAGACAGAGAAAAGCTGTGAGTGGGACCTGGGATGGGGCTTGAGAGCCACCAGCAGATCAGGGTGCAGGTACACTCACCCAGGACTGAAAGGGCAGCCACAAACTTCATGCTGTGTCTATAGAACTTGAACTTGATGGGCCGGGGATGCAAGATGGAGCTCACCAGGCCCCCTTTAGCTGTGCAGAAGCCTGGCGGGGTTGGGGTGGAAATGGGGCAGCAAATGCAGGGGAAGCCAAGGGTTAGGGCAGCTCCCCTTAACCACTGCCCGAGCCCAGCTGCACCCTGGGGTATAAGACACAGTGCTCCTGGGGCTAGCGACTGCCCGGCTCAAGGGTCAACAACTACAGCCCACAGGTTTTGCACCGACTGTGTAAGGTTTTGAAAATTTTAACTACTTGACAGAATCCCAAAATTGGATGGTTTCACTTAAAATCCAGGCATGTGGCTTTTCTTGAAAATGCCCTAGTGACACTGGGTCCCATTCCCAGGTGGCAAGAACCTCTTGTCAAGTCACTGTGCCCCTTAAAAGGGACAGACTTCCCTGCCTGGCACACCCTTACCCATTCTAGCTTAAATGCTGGGTCCTGAGCCTGTCCAGCCTCTCCTACGGGGAAACTTGGGTCCCAAGAGGAACGGCACTTGTCCCAGGCCCCACATTAGGGCAGCAGTAAAGCGGGGTGAAGGGTCCTGCCTGATGCTTGTCACTGCCTCGGTAGGTGCTAAGCTCAGCATTCGTTCCCATGTCCCTGACTCTTACCTGTTTGTGTGACCACTGCCAGGACGTGGGGTCCTACGTAAGTTCGGGCCTGCAAGATGAGGGTCCCACAGAAGAGTGTGTGGCGTCGATGGGTTTCTGGGCAATAGGGCAGTGGGCCCTCTGGCAGGGCTGTCTTGAGCACTGGGACGCTCTCCCCTGGGGAGGGGACACGATTTGAGGGCCACGTTCAGAGGGCACATTATAACCTCTCACTCTCACCAACAAAACCCAAGAGCTCTGCACAGGACTGCTACGTAAGACCCGCCGCTGCTCTTAGGTGCTGCCGCCACCAAGCAGAACCCCGCCGGATCCTGCACTAACTATCCTCCCAAATGTGTGCCGTGCTTAAGCTACCGTCGCAGCCACCATGCCGGTCCTTCTCGGGGAGTGTCTTCCTCTCTTTTGTCACCTTTACTTTTCCAAGCATGGTGTCCATCTCCAGGGACCCCCCCCCCAACATGCCCAAAGTACGTGAGACATCATAAGACTTAGGTCTCATTTGATCCTTGTAACTATGCATGAAGCAGAAATTACAGCCCCATGTTAGAGGGGTGGTGAGTCTCAGGAAGGCTTAGGACACAACGAGACAACCCTGGAAGGGGACACGGCAGCTTGTCACCACACACACCAGAAAGAGCTTCCCTCTCTCCTGTGAGAATTCTTTATTGACAATCATAAATTAGTTTGATAATTAAAACGAATAAAGATATTTATGGGAACTCCAGTGGCCTTGTGGTAAGAAACTGCAATCCCAGAGGTACATGGTTCAAATCCACCAGCTGCTCTGTGGGAGGAAGGACAGGCAATCTCCTCCCGTGTGATTTTGTTCTTAGGTACCGTTGCATCAGATTCGACTCATGGCTGACCTTTCAACAGGTTTTCAGAGGAAGTAAGTTGCATGGAAATAAATCGCTGGTGGACTCTGAAAACCTCCTGGAAGGTCAGCTGTGAGTTGGTTCTGACTGGATGGCACACAAAAACAACAACAAAGATACTTCTCAGGAGGGGAAAGGGCTTCACGCTTGGAAATGTGGTGGACTGGAGGAGAGAAAGACCTCGATGGGCTGGGCTGCACAGTGGCTGCAACCGTGGGCTCTGGCACAGCAGACTGTGAGGGAGGGACAGGATCAGCAGGTTTTCCTATTATCGTACTAGAACTGGAGCTGACTCAGGCACCGGAAGCCACCACGAAGGTGTTTCCAATGGGGGATTAACTTTCTCTAAGGCCCTGGGCCTCATCATCATCTGGCAGATTAACTTCTTACTGAGCACTAGGAATGCTGAAATTCTTGAGCACCGACTGTGTGTAAATCAGTAGGAGAGGCTCAGGGACACTGTCTCTGTCTCCAAGTGGACAGTGAAGCGGGTATGGACCAAAGGTGAGGCAGGTACAGACCAAAGGGCGGCGGGCCAGGCTCAGGGACACACGCACCCTCACTCATCCTTCAGATCGCTACCAAGGTGACAAAACTTTAGCCACAACTCTCCCACCATCCAACGCATCTGAGAGACAAACGAACAAGACGCAAGCGCTTGCACGCAGAGTAAAAGGCAGGCACACGCGGAAGGCCGCTCCCTGTGGCACTGTTGGCAGTGGAGTCACAAAGTAAACAGGCACTGCTGGTGGACCAGCTATGTCAACAACGACAGGGCTGTACTGTGGACGCCTGTGCAGGTGCTGAGACAAAACTCTCCATGCTTGTGGGAAAACGCCCAGGAAGTGTGTTATTCAGGGGAGAAAGGAAAGTTGGGAACAATGCACAGCACGTGATCCCATTTACCTAACAGGAGAGACGCACTGGCAGATGAGCACACAGGGAAGACCAACGCAGAGAACGAGAACGAGGTGTGGAGGGACACCTCACACCCTGACCAATGGCTGAGGGGAGGGCAACTGCCCGGCATGAAGGGGTCCCCCACCTTAGGCTCCCTGTCTTCCTGTGCCGTTAGAGTCCTCAGAACTGGCCTGTGGATACTCACATCCAGACAGTTCACATGGGCTGGGGCTCATCCTAAACCAGGGAGTCTCTGAAGCATTTTGCACAATTCCATTCAGTTAAGAAAGATCAATATGGTCATTTTACAGAGGAGAAAACTGAGGCCTGGAAAAGTAATACAGCCCAAGTGCTGAAGCCAAGATTGTTACTTGAAAGAAAACTCAAACTGAAAATTCTGACACTGGAAGAGGGGGTCCGGGCCAGCAGGGAAGTGGGGAGGGGTGGTCTTGGACAGGGCAGGCAGAACTCACCTGTGAGAGAGCTCTCATTGACCATACACTCGCCGGCCACCAGGGCAGCATCACAGGGCATCAGTCCACCTTCCTGGGGCAGCACCAGGCAGTCCCCGGGCACCAGCTCGCTGGAGTCGACCCACTCCACCTCTAGGGACAAGGCAGGGTCTCAGCACAGGCCGGGCCACCCCAGCTGCCTCCCTGGTCCCCAGGTCCTTACCTCCCCCTGGCCGGCACACGCACACTTGCACGGACAGCTTGACCATGTCCCTGAGGGTCTGGCTTTGCTGTGAGACAAAGGGGAGTGGGTGGGTGGAGGCCCGGGGGGACTCACCTGCCCCGATGCCCTCCGCCTGCCTTTTACCTACTCACCTTTCTGGTCTTGTACAGCGACAGGCAGATGGAGATGGCAGAGATAAGGAAGATGCACAGTGCGTACCAGTAGTAGCGGTCGGCCAACCACAGTGCGATGCTGAAGGCCTGGAACCCGTAGTAGGGGTTCAGGGCCTGCAGGGAGGAAGGACAGGAGGTACGTCAGGGCCTGGGAGCAGCAGTTGTGGCAACTACTAGGGGCTAAAACCAGGCCTTTCTCCTGGTCAACCATCAGCCAACAACACGATGTCACTTGAGCCCTGTCTTCTCCACTCAAACAAGGACACTGGCATTTACCAAGTCCCACAGCATGCCAGGTCCCTGCTAAACACTTACATAAGTGTCATCAAAGCTCTGTCTCACATACTTTGGGCATATGGCCAGAAGGAACCAGTCCTTGGAGAAGGACATCATGCTTGGAAGGGTGAAGGGACAGCATAGGGAAAGACCCCAGATGAGAGACAGATTGATACAGTGACTAAGGCAATCGGTGTAGGTGTGTTGGAGTCAGTGAGACTGGCTCAGGACAAGGCAGGCTTCAGAGCCGTTGTACATAGGGTCGCTATGAGTTGCAAGCGACTCAACAGCACATAACAACAAAAACACTAAGTGTCATCCAATTGTGACAATTCCATGAGGTAGGTGCTGCCATCACCTCCACTGTACAGATGAGAAGACTGAGGCATGTAAGGGTTAAGTTACAGAGTGCACAGCAGTGGCCGCCTGAGGTTTATGGTCACGATGTTAACATTGCACTGCAGATGTGTCTGGGTCCCTGGTTTCCTTTGACCTGTGTGACTCTAGCTGTCACCCCCCACTGTAAAAGTCAGATTCCTCACTTGTGAACTAAGTCTAGTCCTCCTCTCTCCCTCATGGGCTTGCTGGGAGAACAAGCAGAAAGAAACCCTACAGCATGTCTTCTGGCACAGAATGGGAGCTCAGGCAGTATGGGTTTGCTTCTTGGCCTCTAGGTCCCAAACTCCAGGCTGAGCCTTGGCCTGAACTGCCAAAGCCTTGATTTGGCTTCTGCCCTGCCAAGTTGAAGAAGGTAGGGTCTGGGATGTCTCCTGCCAGTGACAAAGGGACAGCCAATCTGTCTGCTCCTGTCAAGTGGCCCAAGAAGACAAGGCCTTGCCCAAGGCCACTGGCGTGCCCAGGCCAGAGCTGGGGTGAGACTCAAACTTCCCTACCTCGTCCACCAGTAGCTGGAGATAAGACTTGACGGGAACGGTGATGACATTGGGGCCGAAGACAGTCTTCCTGTAAGAAGGGAAGTAGCTGAGCGGTCAGAGGGGCAGGACTGTGGCAGCTGGGCCCTTCAGGTGTGATAGGGTTAGAGATGGGGAAACTGAGGGCCAGAGAAGGTAGCTAGCCAGCAGGTCACACCGGAGTAGTAAGACAGGAGGGCTGAGCTCCCAGGACAGCCCGGCCTGGGCAGCACTCACCTCACAGTGTGGTCCTGCAGGTCAAGGCCGGAACGGGAGTGGTGGATGTCATCACAGGTGCGGCCATGGTCCAATAGGCTGTTGGAGTGGATGAGGGGTGTTGGTGTGGGCTGGGGTGGGGGCCTGGGTTCTGCACCCTCACCCCATGCAGGCTACAGGGGAACTCAGGGCTCCAGGCCCCATCTGATCTTCTCTGCCACATTTATTACCTGAGAGAAAGCAGGACTCACTAATGCTGAACTAAACTTTCTCTTTTTCCTGTAAGCTTCAAACCATTTCACATAAGGAAAAGAATGAGATAATAGTAGTTATAAGAGTAGTGATTCCGTGTTTATGTGATGTAGCCTTAGATAAGCATCTCAGCCTTTTTATGCCCAATTTTCCTCATCTGCAGCATGGACGCAGGTACAGCACCTGCTGTACAGGGTGACAGTGAGACAGAATGACATAAAGCTGTGCTTTGGACGGTGCCTGACATCTCCCTGGCGGCAAACACGTCACTGACTGTTACTACTGCTCTCATTATTGCGTAGTGGAGGCTTTCAGAGCCTTGCCCGTATCCCCGAGGAACTCACCCCTGCACCACATGGCAGCCTATTACAAATGCCTGTCTGTACTGCAGGGTGCGGGCCGGAGAACCTTGAGCGCTGAAGAATGAGCGCCCACTAGGAGCACCAGCAGGGATGATGGGAGGGCGCTGACGGGAACGTGTCCTGCCTCCTCACTGCCCTACACTCCCCAGTGGGACTGAGGTCAGGGATGATGGGAGGGCACTGACAGGTACGTGTCCCACCTCCTCACTGCCCTACACTGTGTGTGCTTTGGGGGGGCGGGGTGCCCGACACCGGCTCCAAGGGATCCCCAGTGGGACTCAGCTCCAGGTACCCATGGTGGTGACTGGTGTAATAACACCTTTCTTGGCTGCCTTTCCTCCTCTGCCTCCCTTCCTCGGTTGCTTCCTGGGATCCTCTTCCATGCAAACTCCCTGCACTCCAATCCTCTCACTCAGGGCCCATTTCTGAGGGCGCTAAGACTTGCTGGGTGCCAACAGTCACTAAGTGCTTAGGAGGGGCGGAGAAGGGACTAGAACTCAAATAGAACGCCTGATTCTGGAGCCCACACTCTCTTCACCCCAGTGTGGCCAGCTTGAGGCTGATGCTGGGCTAAGCTTTACGCAAGTCACTGTGATTCTACGCAGGAGACTGGACTGGCTTCCTCTTATGCTCAGAGATACACTGGAGAGGGCTCAGCGAGGTGCCCAAGGATCCAACAGTAAAGGTTGCTGAGTGGGCACCTCCTGCTGCCTGGGCTGGGCCGCTCCATGCTGCCTCCTCAGTCTACCCAGCCTGGTCTCCTACCTGACTTGGCAGAAGGCTTGTTGGGTCTCAATCCAGACGTAGCGCTGGCCCTGGAACAGGTAGTACCGCAGCACGTGCTTCTGGGTGGGAGAGAGGAGATGCCTGTGGCCTGGGACCTGGGTCCCAAGACGACCATGTGTCTGTATGGCCAGGGCAGGGGGACAGGAGGAGCATAGGCCAAAGGCCAATACTGGATGAAAGAGAGTGTCACAGGGGGAGGTTTGGGAATCAAACAGTGGCTAGTCAGCATTTCAGATGACAATAGAACCAGAAGGTGACTGGAGAACATGGAGTTCCCACCGCCACTGCAGAGACTGTGAGACTGAGGCAGAGAGAGGTCGTGACCCCAGCTGTGTCCACTCACTGCCTCCTCCTGCCTGTGGAGCTGGGCCGTGTCCTTCCATGTTCCCTCCAGCACTGCTCCCACAGCTGCCTGGCTCCGGCCGTCCTCCAGCTGGGCCTGTGGGGGCAACTCCAGGCTGGGGAGGAGGGTGGGGGTTACTCTGGAGCTTTTGGAACTTCCCAGTTCTTCCCCATTTCCACAAAGCCCCCTTCCCTCCTTGGAATGGGAGGCACCAGGTCAGAGCCTTCCGAGCGAGGGGCCAGAGAGCAAAGGCTTCTGGGAGGGGATGCTGGGGCTGCCTCACCTGCCCTCACTGATGGTTTCAGTCTGTACCTGGACAGTGTAGAGCTGCCAGGAACTATCCTGGAAGAGAGAAGTGTGGGCTCAGTCCTAGAAAAGAGCTCTCCTATGCCAGCCCACCCCACGGCCTGGTGGCCCTCCCACGCCAGCCCACCCCACGGCCTGGTGGCCCTCCCACAGCAGCCCACCCCACGGCCTGGTGGCCCTCCCGCCAGCCCACCCCACAGCCTGGTGGCCCTCCCATGCCAGCCCACCCCACGGCCTGGTGGCCCTCCCACAGCAGCCCACCCCACGGCCTGGTGGCCCTCCCACAGCAGCCCACCCCACGGCCTGGTGGCCCT